CAGCTGCCGCCGCCGCTGCCGCCTCCATCTCCGCCCTCGTACCCGCTCGCATACTACACCATCACCACGACGCCGGGATCGTACCCTAGCGAGGTGAGCTGGGACCTCCGCTGCGGTTCACCTCGTGAGGATGTCCTCTCGTCGTACACCGGCTTAGACTTCCAGACCGAGTACGGCGTCTCCCTCTCGCCTGGCGTCGAGTGCGAGCTCGTCATGAAGGACTCGTACGGCGACGGCTGGAACGGCGCTAGCTGGTCGGGCCTCGGGCAAGAGGGCCTCACCGTTGCCTCTGGGTCCGAGGAGCGGAAGTCTTTTGTGGTGCCGTTTGCGCCGCCCTCCCCGCCGCCGCAGCTGCCGCCGCCGCTGCCGCCTCCATCTCCGCCCTCGTACCCGCTCGCATACTACACCGTCACCACGACGCCGGGATCGTGGCCTAGCGAGGTGAGCTGGGACCTCTGGTGCGGCGGTACGGTCGTCCTCTCGTCGGCGCCCTACGCGAGCGGAGAGCCTTTCCAGGCCGAGTACGGCGTCTCCCTCTCGCCCGGCGTCGAGTGCGAGCTCGTCATGAAGGACTCGTACGGCGACGGCTGGAACGGCGCTAGCTGGTCGGGCCTCGGGCAAGAGGGCCTCACCGTTGCCTCTGGGTCCGATGAGGAGCGGAAGTCTTTTGTTGTACCGTTTGCGCCGCCCTCCCCGCCGCCATTGGCGCCGCCGCCGCCGCCGTCACCGCCGCAGCTGCCGCCGCCGCCGCCGCTGCCGCCTCTGTCACCGCCACCGCCGCTCCCGCCGCCGCTCGTGATCACCGGAGGCTGCGCTGGCCAAAGCGCTGCCCTCGACAACGTCGAGTACGTCGCTGCTGGCTACACCGCCTCGGGAGCGCCGTACTACCGCGCCTCGACGTCCTCGTTTAGCTACCTCTACTGGGACCCCGACTGCAATGGCAACGGATTTGGAGCGAACTGGATCGTGGACGCTGATCAGCCGAGCACCACGGCGTCGAGCGACCTCGATGGCGACGGAAGCTGCAACTTCAGAGCCTACATCAACTCCTACTCCTCCTCGCCGCCGCTCGGCACGACGACCTGGACGGTGTGGTGCAACCCTTGGACGGACATCGCCCTGACGCTGGCATTCCCCTCGCCGTCGCCTCCGCCTCCGCCTCCGCCTCCGCCTCCGCCTCCGCCTCCGCATTCTCCACGCCCGTCGCTGCCGCCTCCATCTCCGCCCTCGTACCCGCTCGCATACTACACCGTCACCACGACGCCGGGATCGTGGCCTAACGAGGTGAGCTGGGACCTCTGGTGCGGCGGTACGGTCGTCCTCTCGTCGGCGCCCTACGCGAGCGGAGAGCCTTTCCAGGCCGAGTACGGCGTCTCCCTCTCGCCCGGCGTCGAGTGCGAGCTCGTCATGAAGGACTCGTACGGCGACGGCTGGGACGGCGCTAGCTGGTCGGGCCTCGGGCAAGAGGGCCTCACCGTTGCCTCTGGGTCCGAGGAGCGGAAGTCTTTTGTGGTGCCGTTTGCGCCGCCCTCCCCGCCACCGTCACCGCCACAGCTGCCGCTGCTGCCACTCTCGCCGCCCCGACCGCTGCCGCCGCCGCTGCCGCCTCTGTCACCGCCACCGCCGCTCCCGCCGCCGCTCGTGATCACC